GGGAGAGCGTCTCCGACTTGCGTGCGGTCGCCACGTCGCTCCTTTGCCTTCTACGACCTCCGTATATCGTCGAAGTCTTGCTCTGTTCTGTTCCACTGCATTGACCTCTTGGGCATCCTCATCGCCTCTGCTGAAACCTCACGTTGGTATCTCTGCTGGGGGCTGATCTAGTACGCGTGAGTTCATAGGTACGTCCCTTTAAGCACCGGGCCCTATCCCCTTTCCTGTGAGATGTCCCCCACTGTTGCAACGCTATGCGGATGCTGTCGCTCAGGTGAGTCTGAGACTATGTGCTGCCGAAGTAGCAGTCTAGTAAGGTGTGTAGTGTATGATCCCTGAAGGTGAGTTATCGTCTGGCCTGAGTGCTGCTACAACTAGCATGACGCGTATCTATCAGGTAAGTACGCTCTTAGCATGTGATCCCACTCTGCTACCGGTCGTTGGTAGTGTGCTTCTCCTATCGGCTTTGTATTACGCTTACCTGCCGTATCTGTCCTGGGTATGCATACCTGGTACCGTAGCTTGGTCAAGGCGGGTTGTGATGATGTCGTGTAGTGTCCTTGTATAGTACCCAGAGGTTGTAGGTCACTGTGTACTCTACTGGTAGTCGCTGTAGCATGTACTCCTTGAATATAATTCATTGTCTTACAAACAATACCTGTGAATGCGATATGGAACGCTAGAATACCCCGGACGACCGCCGCTGCTGAGCGCTTACTGAAGCGACTAATGCTACTAATGGCCGCTAAATTAGTTGGGGACTTATCATATTAGACTAATCGTCTAATGGCGCTTTTTAGCGCTAAATTAGCTCGCTTAGCTCAATTAGCTGAGGGAGTTTTTCCTGATGTTCATCCACTAAAACCTACACATCCGCTATGATGGTGGATGGTCGTGTTGTCGTCGAAGTCTCGGATCTAGTTCTAGCAGAACCCCCTTTGGCTATATTATGTAGCTCGAAGTGGATTGTGGTTTGATCGCTTTGGGAGTTCTCGCGCTGTCGACGGGTTGCTCCGCGCAGATTGAGGGCGAGGCGCGAAGCCTGAGAAAGAAGTGTCGGTTTCTCACATCTGACGTATGCCTGACAGCGGGAGATTGGCTTACCGAGATGGAGGCCACCGCGAGAATGATGCTATCAGGAGAGCATGTCAGACTGCGCGCTCATCGCTGTACACCGTCGTACACTTACGGCACTCCCATGGCTTGGATCTCTCTGCGATTGAAGTGAATGGTGATCGCCAAGTTCAGCATGCTCGCAGCTAAAGTGTTGGGCCTACGTTGGCTATTGTATGCCACGAAAGAGAGATTTAGGCTCACAGAACATCCTAGGGGAGACTGATATCAACACAGTTTCAGATAGGGATGACGCAGCATCACGTCACCAGACATCGTTTCACTCACATGACGAAGTAAACAAGGCCATCCCTGACGAGCAGATACACAAGCGGGCTCAGCGTGCGTACTTGGAACCACTTGCCAAGGGGATCGTGTTTGGCCTTGACTAGCTCTGCTTTGAAGGCGTGGCTATTGACGAACTGGTGGACCATCAATACTAGATACGAGGCTACAATAGAGAGGTCAGTTTCAGAACAACTCAATATATGTGATATCATGTAGCTAGCATAAGTCAGCTTACTGGAGGTAGCGGAGATCACGATCCTAGTTACAGACGCAAACCGTTGAAGGGTAGTTAGTTGATGAACGTTGGATGGACATTGTAAGGCGTACCAAGCTGGTAAAGTGTGCTTGAGAGGGACCATAGCAAATGTGAAACACCCGGGGAGAGGAAACCCCGGAGGACGCGGTAAAACTGCTAAG